TGTCGTGATATAATAATAATAATAATAATAATAATTAAACTATCTAACTTCGTAATATATACATTTCAATAATCCTTCGAGTTTACCTTGAATTTTTTTTTTTTTTTTCTAAAATTCAACATTATGCACACGAATGAATTATCGCGTGTGATAAGAGGAGGAAAAGAAGCGTAGAATTTTACTATTCGAGAAAATCGACAAAAACATTGACTTCCTCCAATTTTTTTTCCTACCTACCGATCTCAACTTTCCTCGATCCGGATAAGAGGAGTGATAATCGGGCGGGATGATGATCATCTGGCCTCGAAACGTGCCCCTGTTAGGCGAGCATTACGCAATTCAAATATTATTCAAAGGCTAAAAGCTAGGGGGGAGGCGCAGATGACGTGGAAGGGGGAGCCAGAGGGGTGAAATGTGTACGTGCGAGCAGCCACAGGGGTATTACGTTACCGGAAAGATGGACCTGGATAAGGATACCACCAGTTTCCTTATCCTCTTCCGATTTTCTTCATCGTCCATTTCCAAATTTTTCCCAATTTTTTATCCGTCCAATTTTTAAATACGATCGTTTCTTCTTCCTTCTTTTTTTTTTTAATAACCTCGTATTGATGCGAGATTTTAACGAGTTGGTTGAACAGAAGAGTGAAAAAAAAAGAAAAAAAGGTATCCAGCTGTATTTGAACTTATCCGATTTCCACATCCGATTACACGGTAGAACGCCGTCCCAGCTTCTTCTTCGTCCGAGCAAATATTCGTCTCATCTTCCGTACGTATAATTGAATCTTCGCAAACACGGAGGTCTCCACGAGCCTCGTAACAATTTTCCTTCGTAACCGGCTTCGAGGCGAACGAGCAAAACGAAAAAAAAAAAAAAGAAAGAAAAAGAAACGCTTTTAAGTGGCTGTAACAAGAATAAAGCCATTGAGACCCGGTATTATCAAACAAGCGATACATTCCAGTAGTCATTAACCCGTGCATGGTTACCCATCCTTGTGCCCATCTATGCCATATAACTTGCCTAATTTACTGCCTTTAAATATCCCGCGCTCATACGCGCCGCCTTATCCAGCCTATCCTATAATGGCCGCTATAAAACGTCGTCGCCCATTTTTGCAACCAAAAAAAAAAAAAAGGAAAAAGAAACGATTCCCAGAGTTATATCGCGTTTTGTCGATAAATATGCGAGCCTCTTGTTGCGCGGAACAAGTTTTTTTTTTTCCGTAACGAGACTCGACTCTCGTCGTAACCGCAATAAGGGATATATCGAGACGTTTAACGAGCGTCGTAAAGTCGTTATTGTTGCTTGAACGGCGTCAATAGCGCGATCATCGTGTTTCACCGTTGGGCGCGTGCTTCGGTAACGAAGCGATGCTCGATACGACGGT